TCTGTGATTTAATGACTCTGTGATTTAATAACTCAGGGATTTAATGACTCAGTGATTTAATGACTCAGTGATTTAATGACTCAGTGATTTAATGACTCTGTGATTTAATAACTCAGGGATTTAATGACTCTGTGATTTAATGACTCAGTGATTTAATAACTCTGTGATTTAATGACTCAGTGATTTAATGACTCAGTGATTTAATAACTCTGTGATTTAATGACTATGATTTAATGACTCAGTGATTTAATGACTCAGTGATTTAATAACTCTGTGATTTAATGACTCAGTGATTTAATAACTCTGTGATTTAATGACTCTGTGATTTAATGACTCAGTGATTTAATGACTCTGTGATTTAATGACTCAGTGATTTAATGACTCTGTGATTTAATGACTCTGTGATTTAATGACTCTGTGATTTAATGACTCAGTGATTTAATGACTCAGTGATTTAATGACTCAGTGATTTAATGACTCTGTGATTTAATGACTCAGTGATTTAATGACTCTGTGATTTAATGACTCTGTGATTTAATGACTCAGTGATTTAATGACTCAGTGATTTAATGACAGTGATTTAATGACTCTGTGATTTAATGACTCAGTGATTTAATAACTCTGTGATTTAATGACTCAGTGATTTAATGACTCAGTGACTCCAACTATGTTCAGTCAGTTCATCTGGATGGGGTTTTTTTTTTGTTCTGAGATGTTTGTCCTTCCTCCAAGGGACTTCTTCTATCTGAGGGGCCACCAACAAACTGACTCCTACAAACATCACACTTCCATAGTGGAAAAAAACAGTTTGCTGGTGATAAGATGGCCTCCGGGGCCCGCCCTCTCCCCATCAATTCCTCTGAGCCAGTCATGCCAAAGTGGTTCAAAACACAAAAGTCCATGCTCAATAATCCAGGTAAAAATCCCACAATGTTCAGTGAGCTCATCTGGACAGTTTATTTTGTTGCTGAGATGTTTCGTCCTTCAGCAAAAGGACTTTCTCAATCTGACTCAGTGACTGAATGGTTTAACGACTCAGTAACTTGTGATTTAATAACTCAGTGGCTCCAAACACTTAGTGACTCACGTGTGATCTGTCCAGAGACAGGCAGGCTCTCCTCTGATTCTGCAAATGCCACAATCGTAACGTCATAATCCACATGTGGACTCAGGTCTGAGATGGACGTCTTTGTCACAGATGCAGGCAGAGACAGTTCTCGTGTTGGTTCTACAGGAACATACAGAGAGAACAGTCAGGGAACAGCGGCACCACTTCAGTTCAGAGGAACCTCAGAACATGAATTTAATCCCATGCGTGTGGCTCCTCTATAAAAACTTGCTGTTTCAGGATTAAAAGTCTTGATGTCTAAATAATATGATCTCTCTAATCTAACTACACTCTGACTGTTTCGGTCCTGAAAGTCATGTTTTAGCTTGGGTTAAATTTAAATAAATAGTTTTAGATGCAAGTCTTGCAGCTTAGTGTAAAGTTGTTAGGAATTTTGCTTAAAATAAAAACTATGTTAGATCAAGTGTTAATGGAGAAACCTTGATGTTTTTTCTTCCTTTGATAAATTAGCTAATTATCAGCTACACGTCTATAAACGTTGAGTATAACTTTTAAATGCTGTAGATGTTAGCATACTATAACCTTATAGCTAGCTTTATGGCGTTAGCCCAAACCTTTATGTACACGTAGCTAACATTTAAACGTTGCTTCTGCCATTTATAAAAGTCAAATAACATTTTATTATTAACTCATACCTGCCAACATGTGCTGATGGCAATGGCCTGAACGTATTACAAGCAATCCCCCAAGCAGTATTTAATCTATTAAGCAAAGATTTTCAAACTAATAAATGATGGCTGAATCATTTAACAGACACAGCTGAACTTCATTTTGTGTTAATGAATGTCAATTAATAAAATTAGCATCCGTCAGTCAGTCACTTAGTCAGTCATTTAGTCAGTCATTCAGTTAGTTACTCAGTCACTCACTCAGTCAATCAGTCAAACAGTCAATTACTTAGTCGGTCAGTCACTTAGTCAGTTAGTTGCTCAGTCAGTCACTTAGTCAGTT